CCCCTCCGCCCCGACCACTTTATTTCGGCACCGCACCCCCTCCCCCGCTCCGCCCCTTGCCCCCCCGCGCCGTTCTCAGCGCCCCCTCCCCCGCGCCGTCTCAGCGCCCCCGCGCGGCTCCAGCGCCCGCCCAGTGCCCCCTCCGCCTCGACCACTTTATTTCGGCACCGCACCCCCCCCCCGCTCCGCCCCCTCCCCCGCGCCGTCTCAGCGCCCCCGCGCGGCTCCAGCGCCCGCCCAGTGCCCCCTCCGCCCCGACCACTTTATTTCGGCACCGCACCCCCCCCCCCGCTCCGCCCCCTCCCCCGCGCCGTCTCAGCGCCCCCGCGCGGCTCCAGCGCCCGCCCAGTGCCCCCTCCGCCCCGACCACTTTATTTCGGCACCGCACCCCCCTTCCCGCTCGCCCCCTCCCCCGCGCCGTCTCAGCGCCCCCCCGCGGCTCCAGCGCCGCCCAGCCCTCCGCCCCGACCACTTTATTTCGGCACCGCACCCCCCCCCCCTCCGCCCCCTCTCCCGCGCCCTCAGCGCCCCCCCGACGGCTCTAGCGCCCCCCCCAGTGCCCTCCGTCCCGACACTTATTTCGGCACCGCAGCCCCCCCCCCCCCCCCGCTCCGCCCCCTCCCCCGCGCCGTCTCAGCGCACCCCCCCGCGGCTCCAGCGCCCGCCCAGTGCCCCCTCCGCCCCGACTACTTTATTCTCTTGCGCAGCTGTGCTCTAGAGCTCGGACATCTTTATTTTCGTCGTTCGTCGTGTCGTTCGCCCCCCTCGCACCCCCCTGTCCACGCTTCCCAGGGTACCCCTCGCCCCCCCCCCCTGTCCACGCATCCCAGGGTGGCCCCCCTGGGCCAGGGAACCCTTTATTCTCTTGCACAGCTGTGCTCTAGAGCTCGGACATCTTTATTTTCGTCGTTCGTCGTGTCGTTCGCCCCCCTCGCCCCCCCCCCTGTCCACGCTTCCCAGGGTACCCTCGCCCCCCCCCCATGTCCACGCATCCCAGGGTAGACCCCTGGGCCCCGGAACCTTTATTTCTCGTTCGTCGTGTCTTGTCCTCTCGCCCCCCCCCCCCCTGTCCCACGCTTCCCAGGGTAGCCCCCCTGGGCCACGGAACCCTTTATTTTCGTCGTTTCGTCGTGTCGTTCGTCCCCCTCGCCCCCCCCTTGTCCACGCTTCCCAGGGTAGCCCCCCTGGGCCACGGAACCCTCCTTTATTTTCGTCGTTCGTCGTGTCGTTCGTCCCCCCCCCCCTGTCCACGCTTCCCAGGGTAGCCCCCCTGGGCCGCTTTTATTTTCGTGTCGTGTCGTGTCGCGTCGTTCGTCCCCCTGCCCACCCCCCTCTGCCCCCCCCCGCCCGGGCTTCCCAGGGCAGCACCCCTGAGCCTCGGACACCTTTGTGCAAGAGCCAGGGCACGCGTGCCACTTGTTTATTTTACCCTGTGTTTTACCGAACGGAGTGTCAACACGATCGACCCACGGACCCAGGAAGGAATACAGAACTGTCAGGCATAGCGACGTTGTCAGGACACTTGATTGGGCGACGTGCAATTGCAAGGTTGAATGTATCTGCCCCAACGTACCGTGTCAAGGGCTTTGGTGTGCTTTGTTGCGCCGTGCTGAATTGCGATGTGCCATGTCGCGATTGTGCGCTATAGCATTGTGAAGCGAGTCCGCCTTTGCATCCGAGTCCTGACCGAATTGATCTGGACCTTTAGCTCGAGCTTCCTGAGCACATAGTTGCTACCCCAGAGCTAGTTTGAAGTGGAATCGTGCGGGACGTTCAATAGGCTCGACCTCAAATTCCGACTCAGCTCCGAAAAGGAACGACACGACACGGTGCACAGGTTCACGGACGTGCCGCAGGAGGTGCCAGGGGCGCAATAGGGGATGCGCCAGGGGGCGTGTCAGGGGACGTATAAGGGAACGTGCTTCGGACTGGTCAGGACCTTGCCACGCGACGTGCCAAGGCGCGTGCCATGGGGCGGCCACCGCACGTCATGCCAAGGGACGTTGCAAGGGGCGCGCCACGGAATGGGCATGGGAAACGCGTGGGGACCAGCCAGGGCACGCGACAGAGGACGAGCCAGGGAACGTGCCACGGTGCCAGGGGACGTGCCAAGGCACGTCACGCCAGCAAGGGACGTGCCAGGGGACGCGCCAGCGCGCCAGGGAACGCCTCACGGACGGGCGGGGTTGGATTGCGATGCACTCTATTGCGACAAGCGTTTCGCTTGAGAGATCCTCATCCAATCCTCTTGTTAGACGTCCGCCTGGGCGACCTGGACACGTGAATCCAAGCGTCTCTTCCGAGACGTTCTCAACACCTCCTCATGTTAGACATCCGCCTGGGCGACCTGGACACGTAAAGCCAAGCGTCTTGCCCGAGACGATCTCAACACCTCCTCATGCTAGACATCTGCTTGGTCGACCTGGACGCGTGACATCAAGCGTTTCGTTCGAGGCATCCTTCCCACATCTTCATGCTTGATATCCGCCTGGGCGACCTGGACACGTGAACACAAGCTTCTCGCTCAGCACATTCTCAACACATCCTCATGCCAGACATCCTGGGCGACCTAATCACGTGACCACAAGCGGCTCGCTCGAGGCATCTTCAATCCATGTTCATGTTAGACATCCGCGTGGGCGGTTGGGGCAAGTGAGATCAAGTGTTTCGCTAGAGACGTTCTCCACACCTCCTCATGCTAGACATCCGCCTGGGCGACCTGGACGCGTGAAAACAAGCATCTCGTTCGAGGCGTCTTCAACACATCTTCATGTTAGGCATCTGCCTGGGCGACCTGGGCAAGTGGAAACAGGCGCTTTGCCAGAGACGTTCTCAAAAGATCCTCATGCTAGACAGTCACCTGGGAGACCTGCACACGTGAGAACAAGCGTCTCGCTAGAAATTGTCTCACTATTTCCTTATGCTAGACGTCTGTCTGGGCGACCTGGACGCGTCACAACAAGCGCATCGCTCGAGACATCCTCAACACATCCTCATGTTAGACATCTTCCTGGGCAACCTGGACGCGTGAAACAAAGCGTCTCGCTCGAGACATCCTCAAGACCTGTGCACGTGAAGGCATACATTTCACCTGATACATCCTGTGAGTTCAGGTCCCCAGGCGAGGAACAATGTTTAACACAAAACAAGCGTTTCGCTCGAGAAAACATCGACCAAATCTGCAACACAGGCGTTTCGCTTGGGACATCCGCAACAGACGAGCATGTCTACTTCACCATTTGCTTTACCGATCGCAATATTAATGTAGGGACATACGTGAAGCACAAATGATTAGTGCCCCATGGGAGGTCCAACCTATTGGAACATACGTAAATCACGATGGTTTGGAGCCACAGGAGAAAGACGATATATGGGAACATACGTATAACGCAAAGGGTTCGTACCCCAGGAGAGGCCCTATCTGTAAGAACATCTGCAAAATATTTAGATACCCCCTGGGTGGCCTGGACAAGTGAGAACACGCGGTCCCAGCTCGGGACAACATGCTAGATACCCCCTCTGGGCGGCCTGGACAGATAAAAACACATGGTCCCAGCCCGGGACGTCAGATATCCCCCTAAGGAGGCCTGGACATGTGAAGACACGTGGTCCCAGCTCGGGGCAACCATGTTAGATACCCCCTGGGCGGCCTGGACACGTAAACACACACGATCCCAGCTCGGGACGACTTTGTCAGATATTCCCTTTTGGTTGGCCTGGACACAAAAAAAACGTGAGCCAGCTCGGGACAACCATGTTCGGCCTGACCACGTAAAAACACATGGTCCCGGCTCGGGATAACCATGTTTGACCCCCGTTTTGGCGGTCTGGACATGTAAAACACGCGATCCCAGCTCGGGACAACCATGTCAGACACCTCCGTTTGGTTTGCCTGGACACGTAAAAAAAAGGTCCCAGGTATGTTAAATACCCCCCTGGACGGCCTGGACACATGAAAATACGTGGTCCCCGCTGGTGGCAATCATGTTAGACACCTCCTCTGGGTGGCCTGGACAAGTAAAAACACATGGACCCAGCTCGGGACAGTCATGTTAGATACCCCCTCTGGGCGGCCTGGACACGTAAAAAACACGTGGCCCCAGCTCGGGACAGTCATCTTAGATACAGCCTTTGGGCGGCCTGGACACGTAAAAAACAGCTGGCCCCAGCTCGGGACAATCATGTTAGATACCCTCTTTGGGTGGCCTGGACACGTGAAAACACATGGTCCCAGCTCGGGATAATCATGTTAGATACCCCCTTCTGGGCTGAACACGTGAAAACACGTGGTCCCAGTTCGGGACAACGACCTTTGGGCGGGCTGAACACGTAAAAACACATGGTCCCAGCTCGGGACAAGCATGTTATAGACTCCCTTAGCGGGCAAGTGTACAGGCGCCAGACGCATGTTAGACACCCGTTCCGCGCACGCATTTGTACGCGCGAAAATGCCGACGACCTACTGTTAGATATCCCCTTGGGTGCTGCACCTTCCTCGAGCAGGCACCCACGGAATGCACTTCTGGGACTTCTGGGACCAGAAAGTGTCCCGCACCCTGTGATTTATGCTTCGGACCTCACAGGAAAACAGCGTTTTGCTTGAGACATCCTCAAATGTTCATCCGCCGGCCATCTTCGACTGGGTGATTTATCAGGGAAAGAATCCGCTCGCCCTCTTCGAACTTGGCACCAGGGACAGGCTGCCACACTAAAAGAGAACCATGGGCCGACGCCCTTTCCACAAACAACTAGCGTTTCGCTTGGGACATTCTCAACTTTTTGATTCGCCGGCCCTACGCGACCTCGGTATTTATCGCACAATCATTTCGTCGGTCCTACGCAAGTCGAGGCCTGGAGGAAACAGCTGAAAGAGAACCCTGGGCCTCTGCCATTTCCGGGAAAAACCTCAGGGAGGGGTGGGGGAGGGTGCCCCTCCCCGAAGGGAAAAGGGTTGGGTGCTGGAAGAGGAAAGAGAGACGTTGTTAGACCACCTGCGCCCACAGGACTGGGGATTGGTGGAAAGCAGCGCCGAACTGGTTTGGAGCATGCGCTGTGTAGGCTCAGAGCAACTCGGTTCAGCTCCGAGATGCTACGCCGCTTGATTGAACCGCGCATCGCATGCATTCTTCGTTTCGCATTCATGGTGTCTCAAGCATTATCAACTAAATTCTGACTTTCCAGAACACTAGCTCCCCGTATACCGGAAAGTCTGTCCAGTCCAGTTGCGATGGAGCTTGTGAATATGATCCCACATCGGCTGAGCTACGGCCCCGTTGGGTCTGCTGCCAGGGATCAGGCTCGTCTGGCGCTCGGCGACATCACCGCGCCCGAGTTCAGGAGAGGGCGCTACGAGGTCTGCCACTATCACCTCAGAAGCCTCGGCGGCTGCGTAGGCCCGCTGGCCATCGACCAGACGTTGTGGTTCGGCCACGAGCTCCAGGCCCGGCTCAAGGAGACCTGGGGCGGGAGCCCTGATCACCAGAAGAAAAATCGAGCGCCACTCTAGGGCTTCACGCGTCGGGCTCTGGGAGACACTGTTTCGACACTGTTTCGACACTCTTTTGACACTTTTCCGGGTGCCCGAAACTGGTCTTTAAGTAGGAGGGGAAGAACATAAGCCCGAGGACGGCGGGGCGCACGTCGCGGTCGAGTACGAGCCCGGGGGGCGCCGGAACCTCGCCGTGCTCGTCGGCGCCTACCTCGTCCTCGGCCTCGGCTGGTCCGCGGCAGAGGTGCGCCGCGCCCTCCCCGAGGACGCGGGGCTGACCTTCCCGTGCTCCTGGATCGACCCCGTGGACCTGGCGTCCAGGCGCGGGGCGCCCCGCATGACGGTCCAGGACTCGGGCCGGACGAAAAGGGGGTTCCAAGGAGGCCCCCACGGCCTGCGGAGCACCCCTCGCGAGGCCAAGAGGGCTCCGGGCGCTCCAACATGGGGCGAAGAGCTGGGGGCACCTTGGGCCGGGGGCACCTTCAGCAACCCCCGACGTCTAGGATGCCTCTACCAAAATCGGGCCGGACGAAAGGGGGGATTGGGAAAGGGGGGGTTACGAAATTTGCTGCATGCAGCTGGTTTCGGCCTCACCGAGGGGCCCATGCCTCGATGCATGGCCGTCTCCGGCGCCAGGAGGCGCCGGGAAAATCAGCTACGTGAGCTGATTCTCAACCCCCCCCTTTCCTATCCCTCCCTTTCGCCTGGCCCGAAGGACTGCTGGGAGGGCGTGCAGATGGCCCGGGACATGGGATGGCTGCGCAGCGAGATGGTCGAGGATGGCGTCGTGGCTTCCCTCGCGGCCAGCAAGTTCTGGAAGACGAGCTGCGAGTACGACGGGGCATGGCTGGTGCCGGGCGCAGTCTTTGTCATGGCGGATCCGATGACGACCATCCAGGACCCGAACCCGGCAACGTGTGCCGCCTTCTGCAGAGAGCGGGGAGCCGACCGTGTCCCAGAGGCAGATTCCCTGGACAAGTTCCGGATGCTCTCCCAGGACAGCTCGCTCTCGCCCCAGCGCTCTCCCTCCTGTCCAGGCGAGGCCCTCGTCGGGGAGAGTGCCGATGGCCTGCCCGAGGTGTGCCTCAGCGCCGCCGCGGTGGAGCGGGACTGCCACGAGCTCGAGGACGGCCTGCTGTCTCTCGCGTCGGTGCACACCGTGTGCAAGGCCTACGGCTCCGGGCTTGCGCGGGCCAAGGGCTGCGACCTCTGGCCGGACGCGAGGCCGTATGTGGACTTCCTGCTGGAGGAGGGCATCAGGACGGTGGTGCGCCTGAACAGCCCGGACGAGCCCGGACTGGCGGAGATCGGAGGGAGCTACGACGCGGGGTTGTTGGCCGAGTTCGGGATCGGGCACGCGGACATCCCCGTCAGTGACTCCAAGGACACCGGAAGGGGGGGCGTCCCCCCCCGTGGAGCCATCAGGCGCTTCCTCAGTCTGACCAGGCACGTGGGTCTCGAGGACGGCGCTGCCATGATCGTCCACTGCAAGGGCGGCTTCGGCAGGAGCGTGTTCCTGGCGTGCCTCCAAGTCATCTACAGGTACGACGTGCCCGGCTGTGGACTTCTCGGATGGGCGCGAATGGCCCGCCCAGGAGCCATCACGACCCCAGAGCAGGAGGCCGTGTTGCGCTCCCTGTCTGGTCGTGGAGATCTTTGCAGAAGGTACGACGTCCCCATCGGGGGCCTGGAGGGTACGTCCGCGGCGCAGGGCTGCTGCACGGTGACCTGAGCCGGCGCGGAAAGATGATTTCAGTTGTTTTCGGGCTGGGATGCGTTTCAGGAAGCGCATGAATTTGAGAGCAGTGTGGTTCAGCAGGGCACGCCTTACATTGTTGTCGGCTCCGAGCCGCCAAGTTTTTGAAGCTGTTTAGGGTTCCATGAAATTCATGACCGCCAGCTGATGTTATGAAACATATTTTCCACAGCCAGCGAGAGGATCTCCAGTAGATATGTGGCCTTAGAGGCTACGCGAGATCCCAGCCAGCATTCGAGTGAAAGCGGCACCTCTCGTTCTATACCAGCGCAATACAAGCCCAGGGGCCCAGAGGCGAGAGGCGGAGGAGGTGCAGCGGGGCAGGGGGGAGGGCGATGCACCGAATTCATCGGGCATGTCACGTCGCAGACTCGCAAACGCTGTCTCTTCACCCTGATCTGTAAAGCAAACCAGGCTGCAATTCAGGGAAGCCTCCTCATCATTATCCTCGAGTTCGGTGTCCGCTCCGACAGGGGCTCGCTGACATCATTGCCACGTGCGGTATCACGCAGTGGTCGTTGATACTCCAACGACGCACTTGGTGGTGGTGCTGGTTAGAAGCCCAGGCTCAACGCGCTGTCGTTGTATCGTTCCTTGCGCTAATTCAGATGGGTGCTCTTATTGATGCCCCTGAGCGGCCACATAAGCGGCCCCGACGCACCATTCTTTCGTGCCTGTTCTGGTTCGAACACTTTCAATAATTCTGCCACAGTCACGGCCCGTGTAGTGTTGGAGACCACGGGTTGCGATCTGCCAGCACATGTTGGTCCAATTTCGGCCGCAACTTATTATGCATGAAGCGCGAGACCAATGCCCCTCCTGAGTGCAGGGGCCCGCCATGGCATTGCACGCCGACAGGATCGCCATCTCACCCTCATCATTGTGTTGCCTCGTTCTGGTCGTGATGCCTCTCGCTTCGCGGGGTGCACCACCGAAGCGCATGAAGCCTCGGCGCTGGCTGGTGCGCGGTGCTCGACCGCCGTGTTGGTCTGCCGTTCCGTTGTGCCGTCTTGGGGCCCTCCTGGGGTGGGGGCATGCGGAGGGGCTGGTGTGGGCTCCTCGGGGCCTCTTCGGGACCTCGTGGCGGCCTCTTGGAGGTTTCTTTCGTTTTGGCCTATTGGCCTCTTTCGCGCCCTCTTTGAGGCGTCCTTGTGGCCTCACGGGGTTGGGGCTATCTTGGGGGAAGGGGCCACCAAGACGAATGGTCCTCTTGGGGGCCTCTCGGCGGCCTCCTCGGGGCCTCTCGAGCCGCGTTGGCTGCAGCTCGGGCGTGGCCATAGCGCTCAAATCAGTCACACACGCGATAGGAAATCAGTGATGTTGCCCATCGGGACCCTTTTGGGCGTCCTCTTGCTTGGCATCGCTCGGGCGTGTGCATTTTTCCTTCGGCGAGGACCATCGAGGAGCATCCGTGATCATTCGGCGAAAAACCACGCGCGAAGCTGAAAAAAACACAGGGAATGGACGTCCGAGCGATGGCCAGCCTGGCTGCACTCTCGAGGCGCCGTCCGGGGCCCCTCGGCACGTTCTGAGGCAGTCTCGGGCCCTTCTCGGGCAAGAGCGAGTCCATCTTGGGCCGTCTGGAGTCCCCCGTGGGCCCTCCGGATGCCCAGTGTGATTCCGTAGCCACCCCGTGCTCGCTGGCTTCGGGGGTGGGGCGCCAGGGGTCGAGGGCGCGGGTGTCTCCTGGCGGGAGGTGGGGGGCAGGTGGGCGCCCGCGGTCGGGCGGACGGGGTGTGGGAAGGGTGGGAGGGCTGCGTAACAAGGCGAGCGCTCTCGCGGAGATGGCTCAGGGGGCGCGCCTCGTGGGGGGTTCCCCCTTCCACCCTCTCGCGGTCGTGCTCTGTCGGTGATTCCATAGTTGGTTTCGTCTTTCACGCTAGCAGGCACAGATCCTCCTTGTGAAGCCCCGAAGGACAGGACCGCTGCACCACCATCTGTACCCGTTGCGTCTCGGATCGAAAAGTATGTGCTGCCGCCCCTGCTCCCACAGTTGGTATGTGAGCAGTGGTCAGCCCCGGGGCAGAGGTGCCAGGCAGCGCGTCCATGCAGGCGTTTGTTGGCCGCGGCGCTCAAGTGTGCTAGAGGGATTGATCGACCAGGAACGTCTGCACCGTCGGCGCCGCAGCAGCTGCCGCGATGGTAGGAAGAGCCAGGACAGAAATGCAGCCTGAACAGGCGAGTGAGCTCGTGCAGAGTGTGATCGGGGAGGTCATAGCAGAGACGCGAACGAACGCTCGGGCACTGGCTCGGCAGCTTCACGCAAACGTCCACGAAATTTGGCGACCCAGCGGAGGACCGTCGGCGACCAATGGCAGCAAGCGCGCCAGCGTTCTGGCAAGGATCGCGGGTCCTGGGGGCCTGCGACCTGCAATGGGGCAGGCCAGAGCCGCCGTCCTGCACGGTGGCCGCCCCGCCCATTGCTGGTCGCGGGGCCGCTGACGCCCTGCATCCGAAGGCCAAGCATGCCCGGAGGCCCACGCAACGACGGGGGGCAGAGACGCCGCCGACAAGAATTCTTGGGACGGCGACGACCAGGGCTGGTTGGCAGCATTCGGCTGGTCACCCAGAGGGGGTGCGCAGATACCGCCCCTGCACGCAGAGCGCCAGGGCGGTCGCGGGGACGTACCCTGCGGTCCGGTGTGCCTCGCTTTCCTGTTGTTTTCTAGTTTTTTGTTAGCTGCCCCCCCCATGTTATTTATCCATAGACATTGCGCCAGATAAAAAACCCAATCAGTGGATGGTTTTCGCTGGGGAGATCGAACGGGAACCCCGGAGCCTCGGAACCCAGAACCCACCAAAATCGGCCCGGAACCGCCAACTTGGAACCCGGGAACCCGGAACCGGGAACCCGGGAAACCAGCCTGCGACCAAAATCGGCGAGAAATTTTCGCCAAATCTTCCAATTTCCGCTAGGACCCCTTCAGTGCAAGCTTCGATTGGGAAATTACAATCATCCTGCAGACCTTGTTCGGGTGGTCCCACCCAGGGCGACTACAGCAGCCGTCCAATCTGGCATGGCTGGCCACCCTAACCTCAATGGAAGGGGCCGGTGGAACGCTGGGACCGATATGCGACCGCCCCCCAGTGGCGTCGCCGCGAGAACTCCATGAAGCTTTTCGGCTTGACGAGCCAAACGAAATCCGAGGACATTCCAGCAAAGCAGCTCCAGCGTCCAGCCTGGCTCGGTGCTTTCCCGGCACGCCTCGAACTGATGATCGAACATGATCGACCCACAAACCCGGAAACCAAAAATAATATTGACATGTAGGCATTGCGACGTTTTCAAAAACACCTGCTTGGGCGACGGGCAATTGCAATGTTGAGTGTATTGATCTTGATGTACCGTGCCGACGGCTGTGCTGTGCTGGGCCGTACTGAACTGGTGCTGACTGCGATAGCGTTGTGGATCGAGTCCTCTTTGCATCCGAGTCCTGACCGAACTGATCTGGATCTTAGCTCGAGTTGCCTGAGCACATAGTAGTTGCCCCAGGGCTAATGTATTGGGGGACATGCCAGGAGGACGCGCAACGGAAAGTGTCAAGGGACCCGCCAGGCGACGTGCCAGGGGACGTGCCATGGGGACGCACCGCGGGACGTGGACACGTGAAAACAAACGTTTCGCTCAACACATCCTGAACCGCCTGGGCGATCTGGACACGTGAAACAAGTGGCTTGATCGAGACATTCTCAACACCTCTTCATGTTAGACGTCCGCCTGGGTCACTTGGGCACGTGAAAACAAGCGTTTTGTCGGAGACGTGCTCAATACCTCCTCATGCTAGACATCCGAAGTGGCGACGAGGACACGTGAAAGCAAAGGTCTCGGTCGAGACATCCTCAACACGTCTTCATGTTTAGACATCCGCCTGGGCGACTTGGACACGTGAAAACAAGTGGTTCGTTCAAGATAGTCTCAACACATCCTCATTCTGGACATCCGCCTGGGCAACCTGGACACGTGCAAACAAGCGTATCGATCGAGACTTCCTCAACACATCATCTTGCTAGACATCCGCCTGGGCGACGAGGGCGCGTGAAAACAAGCACCTCGCTCGAGACATCCTCATCTTTGTGCTAGACCTCTGCCTGGGAAACCTGGAAGCGTGAAACCAAGCGTCTCGCTCGAGACATCGTCAAGACCGGACCTTCTATAACACAAGACCAGCGTTTCGCTCAAGACATCCTCGACACACTCTGGAGAACAAGCGCTTCGCTCGAGACACCCTCAAACATATGTTCGCAGGCCCTACGCGACCTCGTCATTTATCGCAAACAATTCTGCCAGCCCTACTGCCGTCGAAACCCGGGGGTAAACCAACGAAAGGAGACCCCTGGGCTCAAGCCCTTTCCAGGAACGAAAGGCGAAGGCAGCAGCCGCGGAGGAATGGGGGCGCCCGCGGTTCGAGGTAATTTCAGGACGCGGCAGCCGAGCGTGGACGTCCAAGAACGACAGCTTCGAGAAACTAGAGGCAGCGAGATGCTTGGCAAGGTCAGAGATTCATGGTGGAAGCAGTCGCACGGCTCCCCGTTCACAAGGAGCGCAGCGTTTTTCGGATCGCTCCTCCGGGCGACCTGTACTTGAAGACCTCGCGCTGGGCTCCACGGCAGCAGGGCTGCTCGACTCCTGGGAGGCTTCGTCCACGGCGATAGGGCACCCGCCACGCTCCAGTGCTCCATTTTTTTCTACACCCCTTAGATTTTTCTGTAGGTCATTGAGCAGACTATGTGGTCCAGTAAAAACAGCAACACTACCAAAACAACAAAACGAAAAAAAAGGCCAAAACAATTGATACATGAAAAATGTTGTGTGTGTGTGGGGGGGGGAAAAAACAGTGCCCAGCCGTGCTCGCCGACGACGCAATAACTGTCGGAGGCCCCCCTCGGGGCGATGCTTCCCCGTCGGAGGCGGCGGACTCGGAGACGGCCGCGGCGGGGACGGCGGCTCTCTTGGAATCGGAGACGGCCGCGACGACAAGGACGACGAGACCGATCCGGAGGACGAGTCTGCAGTCGAGCTGGCTGCTCCAGATTTCGTAATAAAGGGAGGGGGGTCTCATTTCGGGGGGGGGGGGGGTGTCTCTTCCGGGCTATCTTGGAGGGCCTGGGGGGTCTGGGGACGAAGTTTTGGAGGGTTCTCCCACGGGGGAGGTCTGAAATGGCTTGTCTTGGAGGGTCCAGACCCCCTCCCTTTTATTACGAAATCTGGAGTACAGGAGGGCGCCCTTGCTTTCAGAGGTCGACGAGCTGAGCCGGGCGTCAATACCGATGTGGCCGAGGCAGTGGGGATTACAGCG